CAATGGGTTCGGAAATGCACCATCATCTATACCCACTACACCAGGAGCATTCTTCAGGATCTCTCTTCCTGTGTCCTGAATAAAAATGCAAAATTGAATCATGGTGGTTGTTTTCATATAAAAAGTTTAACAATTTACCCCCAAAAAATGAAAAGATATTGAACATTCCATTTAGACTGTGTATATGTAAATGATAATTAAAACTGCATTGAATTATGCCGCTGTGACTAAAAACGACAATTAAACAACCAATTTAGGGAGAAACATTACAACATTAAAGCTGTCTACAACGTTTTAGTCCGTTAAGGGGAAAAAAGAAAAAGGTATGTTTAAATAACAAACAATTCAGCTATTGTGTAGGATGATAAAGAAATAAAAAATGCATTGTAATATAATTATTGATATTTGATAGATTGAGTTATATTTTTTAATTTTATGGTATGAGAGTATGGTTTTATTCATTTGAATTGTGGTTTTCTAATTTTATTTGGTGGAATTTAATTCTAACTGTAGACGGAGGTAAAGCACTCAAAGATTTTGCAAGATATTCTCCAAAATTTAAAAGTATTGTGTGGTTTAATCATCAATTATGTACAATTGTTAAACTTTTTTTTTTAATTAATTACAGTTATATATATATATATATATATATATATATATATATATATTTGAATTTGAGGATATATATATTAAAAGAAAATGATTTTAAGACGGATGAGATAGACCTAATTTCTCAATCGAATAGTGTTAATTGGCCAATGTATGCCAAATATAAAAAAAATGAGATCCTTCACTTTTTTATTTATTACATTAATGACCAATCAAACACATATTCTCTGAGCCTAATCTTTGGCCCAAATATCAGAATCATATATAAAGGAATCATTTTTGGGCCCAAATATGTATGTCGCCATCTCGCCATATATGTGACCTGAAGAGAATAGAATGTTGTATAGCTTTTACTATGGTTTTTGATCAGTTTATGTGATAACCTAAAGAGGCAGCAGATACAACAGCAGAAAGGGCCAGCAGTTTTGAGAAGGAGTGAAAGTGGTGGCCGGGAACAAGAGAGCTTTCAGGAAATTATGGACAAGTGGGTTAGGGCTCCTCTGGTGATTGATCTGAGCGATGATGATAATCCCGAAAGCTTAATATGGCACTATATGGATCCTCAGGGCAATGTACAGAGGCCTTTTCTGATGCTTTCACTGAAGCGATAGAGTGATGCTGCCTACTTTGATCACGACTTCAAGGTTTGGATGGCTGGTCAGAACCAAGACGCAGCTGTCTTTTTGACATATGTGATTCCATTTGATTTTTAATAAATTCATATTCTTAAATTAATTGTGTACTCGGACAAATTTTCGTAAGAGAACCTCTGCTTCCCCAGTCAATCACAATTGTGCAATTTCCCTCCCCCTGTCATTCCACAAAAGTGGCTATAGTTACATGTAAAGACTTGTCCATAATTTATACAGTAATTGAGATGGAAATTGAGAATTAAAATTATATATATATTTATATATTTTTAGCATGAGAATTAAAATTATATGATGTTTATTTATTTATTGATTCAAAAGGTTCAGATTCTTTTTGAATTGTATATTAAAGTTTTGTGGTTTCTTTTCTCACTCTATTGCAACTCTCAATTTTGGTGCATGACTTAATTGAATGGTGAGAGGTTTCTTCATCCAGCATGTTTATGCTTTAGTCACAGTGAACTTTTGTATTGTTTATAAGATACATTTGTTGTTGTTATATTAGGGTAAATTACACTTACCTGTTTCTAGGTTTGGACAAATTTCAATCAATTTTTTTTATCTCCTCTCTCTTTTATTACTTTCTCTTTTCTCTCCATCACCATTATCCCTTCTTAAAAAAAAATATTGTAAGTAAATAAAAAATTGAGTGGAAGGACAACTTGATGATTTTATGATTTTTTTTTTACAAATTTTGATGAAGAAGAAATTGTTGAGCATTCACTTAAACGCTCAACTTGTGTGAAATTTGTTCATACCTCAGTGAAGTAAGTATAATTTATCCATTATTATTAGGGCTGCAAGTTGGGCTGGCTCAACCCAGCTCAGTCCCAACCCAACCTCAACCTGAAATCGGGTTGGATTGGCCAGTTCGAATTGTACCCAACATGGGTTATGATCATAACTCAGCCTGAATATTTTGGACAGGTCGGACCGGATTTCACGGGTTGATTTTTAATTCGAAAAATTTCAAATAGAGGATTATTGAGTCTATGGTGGTTATAAGATCGAATATATGCAAAGGAATTGAAATTGTAGTAATATATATATCTAGAAAATTAATAAAAAATAATAATAATAATACAAAAAAGAAAATCAGCTTCCCAAATTTTTTATTTTGTTAGATGGAAAATACAATTTTGATATGGTATTATTAATTTATTCATAAATGGTATGTAACATGTATCAAAAACCCTAATTACTTCCATTTTAGGCTATTATATCATAACAATTATAATATAGATATTTTCCCCATATATATGTGTTGCTTCTTTGGCAGAGAGAGATTTGATGAGATAGGCAAGAAGATCGAGAGAGAAACCAATGCCTCTCTGGGCTTTGAAAAAAAAAATGGAAGTGACGGCGCCTCAAATCTGAGTTCCTTGAGAAGAGACAGAGAGAATCAAAGAGGCTTTACAGTGAGCCGACGACCCGGACCTCGTCGAACAAGAATAGACACGGAGCAAGAATTTTATTTCAGAGGTTGCACAATGCACTTGTTGCAAAAAAAAAAAAATCAATAAATATAACAAATACGAATTTTTAATTTTTTTAAATCAAAAGACAAACAAGAAAAAAATAATATATTAAATAAATACTGTAAATATATATATATAGTTACAAATAGAAAAATCAAAATATTGATTAATAATATTTTAATTAAATATAATCACAAACGTCACTTGAATAAGGAGATATATGTAACTTTTTTTTTTTTTTTTTTTTTTTTTTCAAAAGGAAATTAAAAGAATTTAAAAATTTTAGGGGGACACTATTTAAAATTACCATATAAGTATATGTATATAGCAAAAATATGTACCTCTGGGCCTTAATTGGCTTCGCCCCTAAGAAGGAACCTCTTGAGGTTGCAACTATTGTGGCATTGCGAGTTTCTTCTTGTCTTGTAAGATCAAACTCATTCCCTCGCTCGGGCCGGGTGGCTAGGGAACTTGATTGATTGTGTAAAAAGCCCACAAACTCAGAGACTAGATCAATGGAGCAGCGGCTCAGGTGGAGGGGTGGTAGAGGGACGGCTGCCATGTTTGGTTGGGTAAGAATTCGGGTTGGGCTCGGGTTGACCATGTTCTAACCCGAGACCAACCCGAAAATAGGCCCAGGTTGAAATGTGTCTAACCCAAAGCCAACCCGATTTGTTGGTGAACTCAGTCCAATTCGAAAATCTCGGGCTAGGTTCAGGTTGGGCTGGACTGGCCCGTCCCAAGTTGCACCCCTAATTATTATATCAATTGTCATGTTTTTAAGTTATTATATGTACATGAATTGATTTCTTTGAAATCCTTCTAAAGTGGATTAGGAATATTTGTAGTGGTTATTGTTCATGGGCATGCTGCCATATGTATGATCCTGGAGAGCTTCATTGTTTTTCAATTGAGTTGTTTACATGAATGGGAGTCAATGGAATATGGTAAATTACACCTACCTCTCTCCTCAAGTTTTATCAAATTATACACCCATGAATACTTAAAAGACTTATTATTTTTACCTTATTGAGGTTTGACGTGTGTCCTCAAGAACGCTCTTATTTTTCTGAATTGTTAACAAATTTTTAAAAATGACAAAGTTACTCTTACCTCATGTGAAAAGACATTCACAGTCTACATTTACTATAAAATGATAAATATACTACTAACACCTTGACCCAAATGCCCCGGATAAAATTACAAAATTACCATCATATATATATATATATGTGTGTGTTTGTGTGTGTGTATAAGGAGCTAACATTGGCACTCCATTATAATTCTAAAGCACTCCACTTTCTCTCTTCCCTAAACTAAAATTACAATGTTACCCTCACATCACACAAGGTTTATTTCTTATAATTTTAATTCCATAATTGCCCTTTCCTTAAGGGTTGGATTCTTGGCGCCAAAAGCAAGAACAGATTTTTTTTTTTTTAATATCTCTCACGTTTCCTCCCATCCTCTCTCTCCCTTTCTTTTTCTCAAAAAATGGAAAAATTCACTAATGATACAGTGTTTGAGTTAGAAGAAGTTATTGAACTTGTTAATGTTGGAATTTGTACGCCCAGGCATAACGAATTCCTATTTGGATTAAAGTGACATATATTCTTAGTAAATCTGAGATGATATATTTATGCTTTATACAATTGGTGAATTCAATATATTATATTTCGATTCATTATGAAATTGATAGTGTCCACTTGATTACAAGAATTATTTATATGTATGTGATGATGATCAATACATGAACATAAATAGTAATCATAAATTATTCATAGTCGGTAATTATGGATGAACTCTTAATTAACTAAAACTTGAACTGGATACACGCTAGGTTCAGATATATTGCAAAAGCCGTCGTATATATGCAATTGCTCCATATCACTGTCATGACATTTGACTTTTAAGTATGAGAGAAGTATAAACCACTACAACAATTATGGTCTCTACCAACAATTTTATTTGCAGTTAAAAGTAGAAAAAATGCTACTATAGCTACTTGGCAGCATTTATGGCAGGATTTGTATTTGTTGTCATAACCTGTGCAGCGATAAGCATGACAGCAATTGTACCATTACTTGGCAGCAAAGATAAATGCTGCGAAAAATGACACTTATTTTTAAAGGTCATAATAATATATTTAAATGATGCAAATTTGTTTAAAAAAATTAAATTTTTATAATCAAGTTCAATTCATTCATAAACCAAATTTACTAACCAAATAAATCCAATCCACATCATCATCAACAACAACAAAAACAACAACGACAACAATAAAAATAATAATAATAATAATAATTACAATGCATTTATGAGTGTAACCATGTCTCTGGGGAAATAAAAGATTTTTTAATGTCTCAAATCCTAAAAAGAGAAGAGAAAAGACTCGATGTATCAGCCTTGTTATCCTCCAAGTGTCATCCTTCTCTACGTACAACCTGAAATAAAACACTTAACGTATTAGAAATTAACAACTATTATTTAAATGAATACAAGCTAATCATTTCAAAAGAAATCTCTTTCCTACCACTCTCTCTTGATTTTTTTAGTCTAGTTCCAGAACTTATGAAGCCAAGAAATATTATCCCAAGAACCAAACAAACTCTCTCCTATCTATGCAACCCTTCCTGTCAGTCCCCACACACACTCTCTCTCTCTTACTGAAGAGAACAAAGTTGGTTCCTTTAAACTAAACTAAAAGAATAAATTCCAGCAAGCAATGCTGGGATGCATCCCTGCATTCCATAGGGATCTGTGTGTGTGTGTGTATATATATATATATATATATATATATGTATGTATGTATGTATTAGAAAGAAAAATACCATTCTTTTGCTTTTCTTTTCACACACCTCCTTCCCTCTGACTTCTTTCTCTCCCCTTAACAGACCCTTAAACCCTACCTAAAACCCAGTGTGTAATAAGACTCCTAAAACTCAAAACTACCCATTAACATATTTTTCTCAAATGAGCTCATCCAACTTTCTCATTAACTAGAAAATCCAAGATGATTATAAAAGTCAGTCTCTCCCTTGTCAATTCAAATCTAGTGGGATAATAACCAAAATGAGTTTGCTTTATGTTTTCACAGTCCATCCAGTCACTTCACACAGTACACAATTTTTCTGTACACACAATTCAAAACCTTAAAACTCTTCAAAAGGTCCAATTTCAGAACTAAATGTTTCTCCTTTCAACTTAAATACTCTCCATCCAGCTTGGTTCCAACTTTCAATTCAAAACCAATGGAAGAAAAATAAAGGTATCTAATGTGGGCCCTCTCTAACACACACAATACAGAGCCTTGTAGAAGCATTGTCAAATCAAAAGAATTCATGATGATCTGTTACAGGAGAAAAAAAAAAGAAGTTGAGTTGAATAACTAAAAGTTTTGATGATCTGTACACACACTGAACCAAAATTTGGCAAAGCAAAAGAATTCAAAGCCAAGCTTTTATCCAAAATTTGGTAATTCATACGAATTCAAAGACAATTTTTTCCACTTTTCGATGACTTATAGAATCATTGTCAAATAAACAAGATGGATAAAGCCAACTCCAATCTAGCATATAATTTTATTGATGCTATCATAATTATGTGCAACTCCATCTATATAATCCTCTTTCATGAACTTTTTCAATAATTTACTAAAGATAATGGTTAAAAACTAAAATCAAAAACTATTTCACAAAGTGATAGTACAAAGAAGAGAAAAAAGAAACAATGGAACCAAACATTACCAAACCACACACAACAATGAAGGATCATAAATAAGTTATAGACTTCCAGTAAAAGCCTATTAGTTAGTCACACATGAGAAAAAACTTTAATTGTAGCAGTTCACGAATATTATGATGGCTCACATGGAAAACAAAGGGAAAATTTGAAGTATTAGAGAAAATTAGAGCATACCTCACTAGTCTTGCCGTCATTGAGACCAGAATGACCTCTCCATTGGACTCTCTGGCTACTGGGAAGGTAACCAGATCTCTGAGCTTCAAAGAAGAGAATCGCTCTTGCTAAGATCTTGGCCATAGTCATGCCCAGCAAAAGCCAATGGAACAAGCCCAAGAAGCAGAAACAGAGAGGACCCATACAACACAGTCTCACAAACTTCTCCATCAAATGCTATTTTGGATTCCCTACATTAAAAATAAGAGTCCAAGACAAGATAAATAGAAAAGTAGCTGCCTATCTACCAAACTAAACAAATTAGTAACAAAACAGAATATTAAAAAGATATTCTCATAAACAATTCCTAAGGATTCGGGCTTAGTAGTTAGCATCGAACTTGTTTTGTTTGTAACATTAGGAAATAAGAAGAATGCACACTTGAACAAGCAGTCGATGCAATTATCATTTTATAAGAAAGCATCAAAATGAAATTATCCACCAGCTGCCACAAAGCACTTCACAAACAAATGCTAGATATTAGAAATAAAGTTATTAGATCAAATCATAATAAGGGTATTTTCTTTTTCTTTTTAAGTGCTAGAAAAGTAGAAATTGAGCCATTTTGGAACTACAAAAAAGCACATACCAGATGCGCTACTGAGAACAATGGAATGACCAGCGTTCCATGGAAGCTCCAAATACTCTGCATAGATGACTACATTGGAGTTGAACCTCCAATATTAACTAAAACAGACCAGCATCTAAATAAGGATAAAATTTTCTTAAAAAGAAAGAATCTCACATCCACATAGCAAACATTTTGCCTTCAATGCAGCTGGCCATCTTTTCAAGCTCAGGTAATACAAGTCATAAATGAACAAATGAACAAGACTGTTTTAAAGTGTGCAGAGTTCTAAAAGGTCGAGCTTATGTAGGTAGGAGCGGAGTAAAGGATACGCACTGCCCAAATATCCATGGCTCTATAAACAAATAACGTTACTTCTACTCTTTCCCAAAATCATCATTGTAATGTTCAGTTGATTCGAGCTTCCTTGCTTCATTCAGTTTTAGAACAGCCTACAAAATTACATGATGCAATGGACACATCAAACATCCCATGTTGTTAAAAGACACTCAAATTTATTTTACTTCTTTATTGTCATACAGGAAGAATTATATGTGTGTGTGTATATCATCCACAGAATAGAAAGCCTCATGTATATCATCCACAGAATAGAAAGCCTGATACAGGAATTCTCTAGCGATGGCAGCCGATACCACACATTCAATTACAGTACAAATAAGATATAAAGAAGATATACCTTCATGAAATCTTGGTAGTGTTAGATTGCCTAAAGGTTAGGAGTTGATTTTTCTCTACACTTTACTGTTGGTTATAAATTATACCAATTACTATCAAATATCTAATTAGATTAGACCTGAGAGATATGTGACCTTGAAATGGTTTTGATAATTGAGTATGAAAGCTAAGTAAAATGAAAATGTAGAGTAGTATTAATGATGTTTCAAATGAGTGCAGATGATCTCCTATGTTGCCTAAACATTAATCAGTCACTGTGACACTGAATTCGCTAATTTATTTCCCAACCCTCGAGTTGTGCTCAAAGCATGATCTACAATAGCATATAATTAAATAAAAATCAACAGGACACTTTTTACTTCTTTTTTATTTTTTATTTTATAAGTGCACTTTTTACTTATTCACTAGTTTATTTCTAATTTTCTACAATAGCATATAACGCGTTTAGTAATGGTAATTTCAAGACAAATCCAACGACAACAAGAGTGGTAATAATCAAAGTGCAAGCCGACCCCGGTCAAGATATACTCTTAGGCAGTATCTTTACTATTCAATAGTCTACATGCTGAGAATGAATTTCCAGTCCAACAACAACAACAAAAATAAATAAATAAATAATAAATATTAAATAAAAAATCAAGCAATGTCTTAACCCAAAGCAAGAAAAATACCAATTTGGTGACCAGAACCACCTATTCATTCTCTTATTTTCAAATTTACTCCATATGAATATTTGATCCAAGTTAAACTCAAAAAACCTCAACAAGTATACCAATATTATTTGTATTCTGACAAGTTTCCTGTTAGATCGATTAAAAACTAGAAAAATACCAATATCAAGGTCAACTGACCAAGATGAAACTTGTGACCTCCTTCATAAACCTAATCACATACAACTCACAAATACCAAAGGATATAATGATATATATATATATACTAGAAAAATGAACGTGCATCGCACGTGAGGAAAAATGCTTGTGAATATTTTAATTTTATTCTTCAAATAGAGATATGCTTGTGAATATTTTCCAAATATATATATAAATTCTACTTTTCCTTTCTAAAAATTGTTTTAGTAATATAACTTTAAACTAAAACAAATACTAGAAGTAACAGTAATGTTTTCTTTGATCATGTCAACATATTTGAAAAAAAAAAAAAAAAGTAGGTTTACTTTTACTAACCATGTATCTAAAAAGGCCGAACTTATAAAATTGTAATAAATTTTTAAATAAAAGGTGTCTGAAATAAATAAAAAACACTATAAGACTTTTCAAGAAATTTGTATTAGTATATAACTTTTCTAAAATACGTTTGAAAAAGGATAATAATAAAATTTCAAATATTTTTTAAAATAAATTTTTTTTAGTGTTTTCAATCTAATGGTAATAAAATTCAAAAGATTTTTTGAATGTATGTTGTTTTTCATTGAAAAGTTACATGTTAATGTTTTCATAAACCACAGGACATTACAACAAGGCTTTGAATCTAACTACCTACGGCTTTTTAATCCCTCTCTGTATACCTCCTATGTTTTTTTCTTTCCAAAGATTTTCTCTATACAATTTTTTTTTTTTTTGCAGTAAAAGAGTTGAATGAAATATTTTTTTATAGTTTTATGACTGTAGGTTTGTATAGTGGTAAAATTTAGAATAGGAGGCTCAATTGAATTTAGGAGTTTCTGAGGAAAAAAAAAAAAAATGACGGATGCTCTGAGATGGAAAATGGTGACTTATATAGATGAGTTTGAACACAATCAATGAATGATGTTATGCTGAAATACAACAATGGCGTTGAATAATTATACTCATATAAGGACTTCTACATATCACCGATACTTTGTGTCAACTCCGAATTAATGGTAGAAATTGCTATAGGCGATGTCCTTGTGTGTGTTTAGATCTGGGTTTTCTAATGGCAAACATATTCTAAAAATTTGTTTCTAGCATGTTTATTCTGTCATTTTTTATTTCATAGGTGCTTTATTGTTTCTATTTTGGAACTCTGTTCCATTTAGTTATTTAATTTGACTTCAATTTTGAATAGAACAATATTTGTTTTGGAGTAAATTACTTTTAAGGTAATTATGAATTTTTTGTCTCTAATTTTATTAATTAATGTTAGGAACAGGAATCTGTTGAAAAATAGTAGAAAGTCACGTCTGTGAAAACTATTTTCATTTTGAATAAATAATAATAATAATACTTATTTTAAATTTTGTTACGGTTGAATTAAAAATACTAAAAAGTCAGAAAGGCATGGAACCATGTGAATCCTTCACCATTAACTCACTAAGTAACATCAATATCAATTTCATATCTCATTTTGAAAGGAAAGCCTTGCCAAGCTTCCGTTATAAGAACTGGCACGAAATTGATCCATATAGATTTTACATCCCAACCATAGAGAGAAAACCTTCTCCACTCTCGCCGTTATAATTGTTTGTCCTCTCTAAACATATTCAATAATCATCTTGTTTATCTCTTCCCAAGCACTGTCCTAACTTTCTAACTTATCTATAGAGCTTTGATATATCAGAAAAGTGATGTCTCTTATAATCAAGGTTAAATGAGTTTTAACCAAAGGATATAACTTTTACAATTATATTATAACTGGTGTTTTAGTTTCACTAAATCACACATATAGAAGACACGATGTTTTAAGTATTGTCTTAAAGGGTTAAAATTTTTAAACCAAAATTTTAAGTCCCAGACGGAAAAATAATACATTCCTGATACAGTAGATGATTACCGTCGTAGTTTTGACACGATATTCTAATTTCTGCATCCAAAATAATTATTAATTTTTTTTAGTTCTAAAGAAATAATGTAAAAAGACTTGGATGTTAAATTTGGCTCGATCTATGCAAAACAAGAAACAATGTTGAAAAACAATAGAACTATTACATCTCAATGATGCAACCTAAAATAGATGTAATCATACGCTAAAAGTAAAAACAAAAGTTGTATGGCTTTTTTATCAAAAAGGTTAGAAATTGGTTGGTATAGGATTCAAATTAAAACTTACCTTCAAAAAATGAACAGATGTTGATTAAATTTGATCAAATTTGAACCGAAATTCAAATTGAAACATACCCTCAATAAAAATAAAGCTTGAGTCATGCGCTTCAATCAAATACGAATTTTCTTGGAAATATTTAAAGTTGCAATAGAACATAGAAGAAAATTTTTTTCAACAATTTATAGAAAAAAGGATAGAATGACAGAGAGAAATCTGAATGTCAACCGCTCATTATATAATCTTGAACCGACGTGTGTGTTTAGATGTCAAAATCCAACCGAATAGATGTAAAAAAAAAAAAAGTTGCATCAATTTGATGTTTAATTAAGAGAAACTCCTTTTAAGACAAGAACTCTTTGCAAAAAAAAAGAGAAAGGAAAGTAAAATATGGAACAAGAAAAGTGATGTTAATAAAGAGAAATATTGCAACTCTTTGAAAACGATAACGTCGGTATAATATTTTTGTAAATTAAAGATATTATTTAAAAATGTATATAAAAAATCAAAATTGAATACACTTTTATAGGGTATATATATATATATATATATAGATGTATGTATGTATGTATGTATGTATTTATATAGTAGGTTATTGGGGGTTACAAATGAGGTTGCAAAAATAAGCTCGTGCTATTGGCGACTTAAATTTCATTTTCAATGACCAAGGGAGATATAAAATGAAACATACCTTCAAAAAAAAAAAAAAAAAAAAAGGTCTTAATGAGTTGCAATTGATGCATATGAACCAAGAACGGCTTTCCTCCTAAAGGTGTTGTTGGAAGACATAAAGTACATCTGACAATTTTTGCATAGAAATATAGAGAGAAACTAATACAAGGAAAAATTCGATGTCAAGATTATATAAGTTGCAACCGACATATTTCAACAAACGCGAAATTTCAAATATCAACCAACTTGAATCGGTCATTGTATTCTAGGGGGGAAAAATTAAAATTAAAATTTTCTTTAGAGTTGATTTTCAATTGTAGGATAATTTTCTTAAAATTATTTGATTTAGAGTTAGTTAAGAAGAAGAAATTAAAATAGTACCTATTAGAATGAAGTAAACGTTCCAATATGAGCATTCCTCTTAATACCTTATACAATTGTATTTCCGAACGCTCACAGTGTGAGAATCATAGAACTCTTTCAAAAGAGTTCAATTTTTGAAAAGACACCGAGATAGATTATATAAGTTGGAATGGACACATTTCAAGAGACGCCAAGTTTCGGACACCAACTTACTAACAACAGTCAATGTTTTTTTTAAAAAATTGAAATTAAATTTTATTTAACGTTCTTATTTTTAGACAGTTGATTTGTAATTGAAACATAATTTCCTTAAATTTGATTGGTTTATGGTTGGTTAAAAAGGAGAAATTGAAATAGTACCTCTCAGAGTGGAAAAACATTTCATGATCTGTCGGATATATTCTGAATAACTTGTGTAATCATATTTTTGAGGCACTCAATAGAGTATGTGAATCATAGACAACTCTTTTTTAATCAAAACACTTACAAGATTGTTTGTGCAAATATATTTTGGATTCCTTCTAGAGTTTTTTTTCGAGCGAGACAACTCTGTGATAACACTAACTCTTCCAAGGAATGAAAAATCACATAAATATTAAGTATAGTTGTTTTAATAGAAAAAGAAAAGTCACTTAATTTTTTAAATTAAAATTTAAATAACTATTTTAAAATGTATATAAATAATATAAAAAAGAAGAAAAGAAATTTAAATAACTATTTTAAAATGTACAAAAATAATATAGAAAAGAAAAACCCCATTGTTATTAGTAGCATTGTCAAACTTGTAAAATAAATTTTAATGTTTTTAGTGTGATCTAAAGTTTTTCTTAGAAATTAGAAAATAAAAATAAAAGACGTTTCTAACTTTCTACAGTTTTTCAATTCAAGAAAATAAATATAGATAACAAAAAGTTAGATATCCCATGCTCTTGTTGTGTGTAGAATCTGCAGTGAAGCAATAAGATATGCCACAAAACAAATAACATGCATTAAAGCATCATACATTTTAGTATCATGCTCTCACGGAAAACTGCACATATAATATACTACATATAGAAATTCCTTTAGAATGACAATAGGAAAAAATGAAACACGTTGTGGAATATCAAATGACAAATAAGATGACTGGTGTAAAATCTTACTCAATTATTCACTGGAACATGCAAAAGAATGTATGTACGTTTTTTTGTAGCAGAAATCTGCTCCTCACTTTCATCTGCAATGCAATTGTGCAACTGCAATAATTTATGTTATTTTTTCATAATAATTATATATAAAAAAAATCCAAGAACAATTGATAGTAAGAAAGGGTAATCGATCAGTAGGAAGCCTAGCACCACAACCACCATTATTAACCCCAAGCACTGGCCAGAATAAATTGCTATTGAGTGAACAAAGAATAATATATATTGGAGCATGAAATTTATCTCCAGATACAAATTGATGATGATCGATGACATTTTTTCCAATGACTACTCTCTTGATATTCGTGTTAATGTTGGTTTTCCTACAAATGTTGTTGTCTCGCAGCTGTTGTATTGATGATATATTGGATAACTGATCATATTAAGAAGGTGACTTACCATTAATGAGATGTGTTTGCAGTTAAGTAGGTGACTTTTCGGAAAGGGTGTTGGTAGTTAAGAGGGTTAAAACTTTTGAGTAGTATAGTTTTTTTGTTTTTTGAAAAGTCATATAATTTTGTTTGTTTAAAATTTAAATAATTGTTTTAAAGTGTATATAAATGGCATACATGCTACGCATATATATTAAAATACTGAAGGTGTTTGCAGTTAGAATGTGTCATTTAGAAGAGAGGTGTTTGTAGTTAATATGGTAACAATTATTTACTATTTAAAAAAATAATTAGCTTGAAAATGTTTTAATGAAGAAGTGTTTATATAATTAAGAAGTGACTATTTGAAAAGTCATGTTTATTTTTTGAAATTAAATAATTGATTAAATGTATATAAATAATAGAAATAGAATCCACTTTTATAAGGGATATAGATATGCAATATTGTAAAGTCAGTTGGCTTCGTAATATAAGTAAACTATATATCAACCCTAGTGAAGTGAAATATTGTGACAATTCAATGAATTTGTGAGTAAACTAGTGTTGTTTATATTATTAGAGATAGATCTATAATTGAACTTGCTTAAAGTAATTATTCAGAGATATCTGCAATCATAACTAAGTTCTTGCAGAAGGAGACGAAAGATGAAGACGTCTAACTCTGATAGCGGTGGTCCATTTGGTCGCCCAGAAATTTGAGGAAAATGAACAGAGAACAAAGAAGTTAAAACTTTGGACTCTTACGTTCATTTGGTTCGACAGAAAAGGAGAAGGAAAGAGATTTCAACAAAATTCTCAAAAATTTTGAATTAAATTATACATCAAGATAGATAAAATTTGAAACAGAGTTCTAAAATCAACTTCAAACTCTTAGAAAGCTAGGGTTTCATATAATATAAACATAAATCCCCAATTAAAGCATGAAATTCAATAAGTAATATTAATGGAATTTACCTGCAAGTGGATAAACTGATTAATGAACTCAACAGTTTAGTTTGGATTTCTCTTTGAATTACAATCGAAACTCTGGATTGAAAATGGAAACGAAACTCTCAAATTGAAATTTTTTCACATGGAGTGAGAGAAAGTGATGCGATCAGTTGATTGAGAATGGAGCGAGAGTAAGGCTATGTTTCGTAAGGTGGCAAAGGAAGCCTTTTAGTTTGATCTCATCAGAGGTTATGGATCATACTAGCCTGCCAATCGAGGCTATATTGCGACAATAGTGCAGAAGTAGTCCAAACCAATGACCCAAGGTTCCATAGAGGAACAAAGTATATTGAAACGAAGTATCATATTTTACATGATATTGTCCGCTAATAAAATGTACTCATGGCTAGGACATTGCATTAGAACACAACTTTGTTTATCAATTTACAAAGGTGTCATCGATCAATAGTTTTGATCAACACCTGGATAATATTGGAGTTAGATGCAATTTGAATTGGCTATGAGGGCAAGTGGGAGTTATTGGGATTTATATGCCCTAGCATAGCAAATTCCTATTTGGATTATAGTGACATGTGTTCCTAACATATCTGAAATATTTATGATTTATATAATTAGTGAATTCAATATATTATGTTTCAATTCATTATGGAATTAATAGTGTCCATTTGATTACAAGAGATATTTATATATGTATGTGATGGCGATCAATACATGAATATAAATAGTAATCATAAATGGTTCATAGTCGGTAATTATGAATGGACTTATAATTAATTAAGACTTGAACTGGATCCGCGTTAGGTTGAGATATATTGTGAGAGCCGTCGTATGCAATTGTTCCTTATCACTGTCATGGCATTTGATTCTTAAGTATGAGAGAAATATAGACTCTTTTATTAATTAATAATTACTTTGATTTGTTCAGCAGATACTTCGGGATCTTTAAACCAACACTTTAGGTAATTATGTGATTCATAGTTAGAGGGTTATATTCTCAATATTTGCATCAATGCTACTTGTATTTATTTTGTATTGATTACGGTTAATCACAAATTAAATTTGAAGGCCTTTGTGTGTTTTTAGACAAAATGATTTATTATATATTTATTTATTTAAATTATTATTTTTGTCAAACAAATGTTTTATTATGATCGAGCCAGAAATAATCAAAGGTACTAAACTAAATATATTAATTAAGTAGTCGGATTGATGACTTTATTTATCCGATAACTAATTATGCATAGAGGGGTTAAAGTGCAACATTGACTTAGAAGTTATTTATTACTTAATTGGAGTTCAATTAATTTCTTTTAGTGGAGTAGATATTAATTAATGAATTAATTTAATTGGGTTCATGGACCGGGTTGATTATTAATTCATTATAGCCAAGAAAATAATAAGCCTAATAGGATTCTCACTCATAGCTCAACTTGATATTAGAATCATATTAAATTTGAGATATGTGAATTAGAGATGGAGAAGGATTTATTGTTTCATTTTCTTATTTTTATGTTGCCTATATATACATGGGTTCATGTATATTTTAGGAGAAACTTTTGGAAGAAAAGAAAAAGGAATATATTTTTCTCTCTCTAGATTTTAGGGTTTACTTTCTCATCTAATGGAGGCTCCCACAAGTCTAGTTTTCCAAGGTCATTCATGGAGGCTTATGAGTGATTCCTAAAGGTAAAATCATTACCAAGAAGATGGAGATCCAAGGAGAAGGCATCTAGCAAAAGGATCTATAATAAGTGAGAACATTCACTTTAGAGGAGAGATCTAAGGTTTACTCAAACATTTGATGTAAGTATTCAATCTAGTAATTAAATGATATATCATATTTTATTTTTTCATAAAACTTGTCTCTATGTGATGAATCAAGATCTGTGAATGAAAATCCCTCGAAAAGTTTCTAAAGTTTGCATGTTTCCCAACAGTGGTATCAGAGCATGGTTTGATTCATTACTAGAGATCATGTTTTTATCAAAATTATCATTCATTGATCCAAATTATATATGTATATATATATATATTTATTGATGTATGATGATGTATGTATAATTGTGAATGAATGATGATGTATGTTTGGCCCATGGATGAAACTTATAGGTTATTGAGTGTAATTTTATCTTTGGATGAATGTAATTAAGGCTTTGATTTAGCCATTTGAAAGTTCAATGATGTAATTTAATTTTTTCCATTGTATTTCAAGTGTAAATATTTTTTAAAGCCATGTAATCTTCATCAAAGGATGCTATGAAACTTCAAGAAGGTCCAAAAGGATTAAATTAGGCTTCAGGAATTTTTTGGGATTTTTTAGAAATTTTTCGCAATTTTTCTGGAATTTTTAGAGCCTAAATTTAATTTTTCTGGAACTTTTTATAATTTTCGGCGATTTTCCGGCAATATTCCAGTGACCGGAGCGGCGCCGGCTGCAACGGAGGCGCCGAAAGTGCAAGCTGTTGCTCCAATACTTTGCGGTGCACCATCATACGGTGCACCTGAATCCAATGTCACTATATTGAAATCAACATGAGAGGTAAGATCATATGAGGCGCAGACGTGGTGCAATCATGCACCAATCAAACAGTTGGTGTGTGAGGATGGCGTGTGTTCCTCATGCGCCAGTCACTTCCAGCGCACCAGGCGCTTGGCAGCGCATGCCACGCATTGGTGCATTCTGCCTGCTCGTTCACGCGCGTGCGCGCGCGTGAAGACACATGTTGAGCGCGTGTGGGGTGTATTTGACCGTGTTTTGACTCCTGCAGGTGCGTAGGACGTTTCAGTGGACCCTCGCGCAATAATTAGAGCATTTAAATGTTAAAAGCTAAGTCCATTGGCCATTTTATTTGCTTTATCTGTTATTTATTTATTTATGTGATGTATGAAATGCGTAGAATAGATAATTGTTAATTATTATTCATGCATTGGATCCATGATATTTATTTAAATGACTTGATTTATATTAATTAAATTATGAAAATTAATTGGATTAGATTACTAATTATTTGAGGGCACAGCAGGGGAAACGAAATATTATTTTTGTAAATTATTTTTAAAAGTGTACCTCAAATTAAATATTAATGAATCATTTAATATTCCAGATATTTTCTAAATTTAATTGGATTAAAATCTAGGCATTTTGCATGCATTAAATCATGAATTAAAAAACCCTAATTATATATAATTAAAAATTGAGTGGGAGCGGAGATTTTTATACATTACCCCATGGCCTTCATTATTATACCCATTGTAATTAGATCTTCAAAAATAAGGCCCTATGCATGATTTGAAGAGTCTGAGATTACAAGAATGGTTGTTTCATGAAAATAAAAATATTAAATATTCATTATAATTAGATATTTAAAAACAAGGCCCTACGCATGATTTAAAGAGTCTAGATTATAATGACAAGATATTTAATGTTTTATTTTTCATTAGAGATTTAATAACGTTATACACTCAATCTAAAATTAATAGTGTTAGCTCCCTAACGGAGTGGTCTACACTAGGTGATTTTAGAAAGGCTAAACAAAATCGGGAATCATTTCATATGGTAGACAAGGCATTGTCTTAAGAGATATGGAAAAGATGGGATTTGCCCGCCAATAGCAATAATGAACTTCGCCAACCGAATAAGTTATTGGCGTATTGGTTATTCGATTTTTCATGCAGTGGTTAAGGGACCCACATACTATTTTAATAGAAGTGCTCACCTAATAGCAAATAAATCTCAACAATAGTAATAATGAACTCCTCAATCAGGATAAGTTATTGACATATTGATTGTGTGATTTATTATACTACGAAGTTGAGGGACCCGCATTAATTAAAAGAGATTGTTCACCAATAGTGATAAAAAACTCTTTTTCTATTGAGATTTATTATACTATGTGGTTGACAAACTTATTTTAATTTTAAATATGCATGATAGTATTAATAATTCACCTTGCATATTGTATGAATGTATTTATATTCAGATTAATTATGTCCAATCCATTTTATCTGTTTGCTTACATATTCAATGTAATAGGACCTCATTGACACGGACTGGAAAAGGAACTTAGATATTTTATTCACAACGTAAGGGTACAAATGTATATATTAATCCTAAACCTAATCCTTTTACTTTAAGATACCCAAGAAAACATTAATGCTTTTAATAAGCGAAATAAGGCAAATGATATGATTTGGTGCAATATTCTAGAGTTTATCTCGAATACATTCCAAAGCTAACATTTACATTATTTTATTTTCTTCAAGCATCATGTTAAATGTTAATAAGATGTTTTGGTGAGATTAGATAGAGCATATGTCTAAGTACTATGTCAGATTTAAATACTATCAAGAAAGCCTAAGGATCTCCAGTAAAAGATTGAATTTTGGAAAATGATTGTTTATTATTTAAAAATTAACTGGAGGTCAAAAGGGCTAACTTGGATGATAAGTTTTAAGTTGACATGATTATTGCCTTGTTACCAAACTCGTTTGACTCTTTTAGAGTGAACTAAATAAGGAACCAGTTTGAGTTCACACTCGCTGATATTCTTATAGAATTGGTAATATATGAAGGGATAATCAAAAGTATAGGCATTCCTATCAATCTAACCTAGTCTATACCATCTTCTTCTAGGCCCAAGTGGAAGGGCAAATAAAAGAAGAAGGACAAGAATAGGACTAGGCTAGCACAAAACATAGGTATCCAAAAGGTTAAAGGGAATAAGGCAGTGTATGTTGAGGGCGAAGGAAATTGTTTCTTTTGTCGCTAACTAAGACACTAAAGGACGAACTGTCTAAGCAATGACGTGGCATAGGAAAATATATATTTAATCATTGAGCTATGTTATGTGGTTGTATCTATTAATTCCTGATGGATAGATTCTGGAGCCACTAAACATGTTTGCAATTCGTTACAAGGATTTCAGGAATTCAGAAGCCTCGATAATATGGATATATATTTGTACTTGACCTGATGTCAATGTTGTAGCTAAGTCAGTGGGAGTATTACATCTGAAATTAGAGAGTATGAGAATATTAGTATTAGAGAACTATCTTTATGCACAGATGTTAGACGTAATCTAATTCTTGTTTCACTTTTGGTTTATAAAAACTGTGTTGTTATTTTGTAAAACTAGTTTTATAAAATTGAATAGATGTGCGATTGCTTCTGGTGCATTGAAAAATGGTTGATATACTATAATCACAAACTCTTAATATTTGCATGATGTAGAAATTAATGTTGCATTTTTTGGATTGAATGTTAAGAGAAAATTTGTTATTCCTGACTCATTGTATTTTTAGTGTCTATTTTTGGGTTATA